ATGTCAATAGTAGAATTTGGAGAGGAAATATAATGGTATTTCTATTTGGGATTCAAAGATGAAGACTAGCTCTAGAGATTTTACTTAAACTGATGACTTTAAGAGTCACATGAAAAATAGTTATCACTCTCTCATAAGCCTCTAATGATAGCCTTGTTTCTAGAAGTATTCTTAATATGTGAGTCTAGTGTACTCATTTTAAGACTTCTATTCAAGTTTTCAATTGTAATATCTAACAAGTATAATTTAGTGAACTGTATTGTTTTATGTTATGTCTGTGATAATTTTTATATGCTTTTATCAATGATTGTAGTGCCTCAATCAGAAAGGCATTAGAGATCTCTTAATGTGTCACTTAAAATTTTCTTCGGAATCCTTGGTTTCTGTGGTGAAACCAACTCAGAGCACAAGTGAGTTGTGTTTGGAAGAGGAAGAGTCATAGTTCCTTCACTCTTTTACAAATAGCTGTTCTTTTAACTGACTTTATATGGTGTGTACTGATTTAATGGCCTTCCCAGTTCAACTAATTTGGATTTGAGCCTGCATTTACTCACGTTCAGGGAATATTGGTTTTGGGAACTCACATAGATGGGATATAAAAGTAAAGGTTTGGAAAGTTACTTATTTTTCAAGTTAATTTCTTATCATTCATTCATTAACTATTGAATTAATAATCCCCCTAAATTTAAAAAAATGGGCTTTGGGGGCAGATGTTAGATAAGGAAGACATACAAAAATGAGTGTGTGAAGAAGGGGTATAAGTTCTGATTTTCTATTCTAAGAAAAAGTAAAAATATTTATGGACAGAAAATTTTAGATACTAATTTATGGGTAGGAAAATGTAAGCGAGGTCCTAGTGTTCATCTGTGGCACAGGCATTCTTATAATCTGAAACATTTTTAGTTCAGATCCCAAGAAATTTTCCCTGTGGGCCATCCTTTTTCTGCATGTACTTTCCCAGGGAACACAGCTTTATGCACACATGGGAATAACTACTAATTCTCTAGGAATTTGCTCTGATGTCCTGATTTACTTATTGGTGGATTTCTTAGAATTCAGTCAATTGCAGGCTTTGCAAAATGCTGAGTCCCTCAATTTCTACCAGATATGCAACATTGATAGAAGGTTCATCCTAGAAATACTCCATCCACCTTACAGCAGGAAAAAAAGCAAACCATCCCCAGGGAGGTAGTTTTCTGCCCACCTGTAGCTATGAAGGTGTCTCCTTCCTTTCTCTTTTCCTTAATAAACTTACCATGTGTTGATGGGAAGAAAAAAAAATAGTCCCATGAAATAAACTACTGATGTGACAAAGGTAATTGGATTTATAATCTATAAACTGATAGGATACAGAGGGTCTCCCTCAAGAATTAAAGTATCACTGGTGCTTTGTGGTAGGAATGGTATAATATACATTTGAAGAGGTGTGAACTCATGCCCCTAAATCATGTAGGGAAGGCACATAATTAGTGATATTTTGAAACATGCCTTCTTTTTCTCTTCCTTTTCACAAGACTCAATAATTAGGTTGTGGTTTTTGTTTTTTTTTGTTGTTTTTTTCCCAGCACCTGTAATAATTTTTTTTACTTTTCAAAGTTAGGTACTTTTACATGCTCTGAAGAGCTAAGCTTGAGAAGAGAAAAAGTGTAGTTATGTAACCTGATCCTTACTATTATGGACTCGGTGCTTATCTTGCATAATGTGTTTTACTGTCCTATGCCTCAGATGAATAAAACTAATGCAATTTTGTAAAAGACAGCCTAATTTAAAGTTTAATTATAATAGCAATCCTTAATTACTCATGGTATAAAAAACACTTCAGGATAATACATGAACCCAAGAATGTCAACTCTCTTGCTTATTCCTAGGAGAAAAACAAACAAAAAACCAAAAACTTACATTAATGGAACAAAAGTGAATCAATCAGTTGAATTTTTAGAGTAAACAATCTCTGTCTCTTACTGACATGTGTATGTTTTCTCTTAAATATTAATACATGAAGTAGTTAATGTTAGGTATTTATAAATCATCCAACCCAGTGTTTTACTCACCACTTCTATTTTCTGATGAACTTGACTCAATAGCAGCGGGATATGGGTTCTCTCTCACTTAACTTTTAAGTTCAAAGCCCAAGTCTGTCCATTATTTGACATATATGGACTTAGGGTACATAGAAGTCTTAATAGTGAATTTTCAGTTTGAGAGACCTGGAGAATACATAATGCCTCTCAGTTCTCTAGTGAACCTTCTTGGAATTCTTATAGGAACTCTCCCTGGAGTGTATGGGGGCTACTGGAAAAAATTAGATTTGTGACTAAGATAAACCATACAATCTGGAAGGAGGCAAATATAGGAAATATAATTTTATTGCTGCTGAAATAGATACAACATTGACAGATGTAACTTGTAAATCATTTTACAATCTAAGTGATATTGAGTATTTTTTGGATAAGACAATCTTTAAGTTGTACTTTTAAAAATAGATTCATGATAAACAACAATGGAATTTGATGCTGGGGGTTCCATGTACCATTTTTTCAATGGGTTTTCAAAGCCATTGGTTTCCATGGAGGTTCTCCTAGGGCTTCCTTAAGATGGAAAAGCATAGTGATAAGTGGGCATGGAAATATCAAGGTAGGATTCAGATTCTCTGGGCTCATTATAGTTGTAATTGTTATTTTTTTTAAAGATTTATTTGTTTATATAAGAACTAGGGTATAGTCAGAGGCACAGGAGGGTGAGGGAATTCACCAGAGACAGAGTGGGGAGCAGAACAGGCAGACAGACCAAAAGCACTGATGAGGGGAACAGCAGGTGAGGCAGGAGAGATCTACTGCACCACATGGGATTCTCCCAGGCCTGCCAGGAATCGAACCCTCGCCTGAGAGGCTGTGGGCAGCTTCATAGTGTGGCGCTCATGCCATGGGGAGACCCACTGCATCACCGGGGAGACTCTATTCTTATTGGTCTCTCATGTAAGAATCTAAGTGAAGAACCTGTTCAGCTATTTAAAATAAAAACCATGGACCTCCTCTTTGCATCTTATTTTACATATGAGGAAATTGAAGTGTAGAGACATAAACTGAATTAATCTTGGTCACCTAGCAAGAGAGCTGTGAGTTTAATCTTTAGCCTACTAGTATCAATTACACCGGGTTGGATTCCTGGTTTTGATTGCTACATTAGATATATACAACTTGCAAATGAGAGCTGGTATGATTCTATGAAACGGGCATTCAGTTTAATTTTATTTTATAAGCTACCCTGAATATGTTTATTTGTTCAGAGTAAACAGAACCCCAGGATATTTTCTACTTGACAATTTCTATGATGTCTTAACTATTTTGTTTCAAGAAAACTTTAAAGCACCGAACAATTATATTTCACAAAAGAAAATTCTTTTAAGATTTATATAAGAACCAGGGTACAGGCCAGATGTGAGGGAGGGTGAGAGGATTCACCAGAGACAGAGTGGGGAACAGAATAGGCAGACTGACTGAAATACACTGCTGAGGGGAGCAGCGGGCGAGACAGGAGAGGTCTACTTGCCATGTGGGAATTTCCCTGGCCAGCTGGGATTGAGCCTGCACTGCAGAGGCCGTGGACAGCTTCACAGTGCAGTGCTCAACCACCTGAGCCACTGGGGAGGCCCACAAAAGAAAATTCTTAATGTCCAATCTTATTTGCAGCTTAAGTGTTGTGTTTCATTGCACAGAAAATGCTAGCCAGAGCATAGGAAGTGGCATATTAATTTATAGGGCAAGGAAGGTTACTCTTCACACTCCACCCCCAAACAATTAATCAAATTCAACCCCACTTGCTGGGGTTGAATAAAATCCACAGGAAAAGTAAATCACTTGTTCAGGCACATGCTGTTTTTTATGTTGGAAAAAAAAAAGAAAACAGAGCATGTAACACCAGTGACTAATAAAGCTTCTTAGCTAGGACTTCAATGTGAGTGCATTTGTTGCACCCTAATTTACAGTGGATGTGTCCTGGGTATGAGCATTGGTGGATGGAAAACATAAACAAGAAAGGGTAAAAAAAAAAAATTGGTTATGGAAAAATTTTATAACTATTTTTTCCCATTTGGGGGAAAACTCTTGTTTTCCATATATCATTGTCATTACTTTCTTAGTTTGTAAGTAATATTTTTGAAAAACTAAATGGTTCCTCAACTGGAAATAAGTAGTAATAAAACCCTGAGTAGTACTTATGGTAGAACAAAATTGGTGGGGATATCTGAGACCATAACAAATACAATTTTTAGTATTATAGATACAACATGAACAAAAAACAAACTTTTTGTCTGGAATCTCCTCCATTCTTTCAGTATTTGTTTTCCTTAGCATCATAAAGAAGGGAATATTTGTTTATAGCTACAAAACACATTCTGACTATATGTCAATGTCAATCCAAACCTATTTTTTTTAAATGCTGTTATACCCAATAAAACCCAAACAGGTTTTCAACTATGAGAAGTAATATATTCTTATTTTATCACAACAGGATAAAATGATTCTACAAATCATGTTCTCCTATCTTTATGAAATGACCACATGCTATATAGAGATACCAAAACCAAAATTGACTAGTTGAAATACTTAGTAGCCAAACCAGTTGATTTTAACTGAATTGGCATGACTCAGTTGCCCAGGACAAAATGTAAAATATTGCAATATTGTACATGTAAAAAAAATTTAAATCTTTGTGACTAGCAAGAGAACAATACCCATCATTAAAACTACATATCTTCATTATATATTTTCATCAAATCCTATTTACCTTTCATCTACCCAAAATCAGTTACTAGCAATGACATTAAAAATATTGTTTTATTTTTTGAAACTTTTATAAGACAAACAATTCAAGCGTGAACTCAGTATTCATGAACATTTTCTTCTACTAGTGATGATAATTATAGTGATATTGGATAGTGTTCTGGTATTGATTTTCTGACCTATTTTTCCAATTTACCCCATACTTTATTGTCTTAACAGGTAGTTTACAAATGATTAGAAGAATTGATTCTCTCTGACTCTAATCAAATTATTTCCTGTGACACAGATATCTGCTGTTTACTTGTGAATAAGGTATGGTTAAGATAACACCCGTTACCTTACTTTTTTTTTTAAAAAAAAGATTTATTTATTTATGCACACAAGAACTGGGGCACAGGCCAGAGGTGCAGGAGGTTGAGAGGATTCATCAGAGACCGAGTGGGGAGCAGAACAGGCAGACTGACTAGAAATACACTGCTGAGGGGAGCAGCGGGCGAGACAGATGATTCAGCTGACCTCACCCGTTACCTTACTTGCTCAGCATTTAGATGGAGACATCAGACCACCCGCATTCAGTTTGCGCAGCTCCAGGAAGAGTGTGGATACTGCTGGGTGGAGACTTCATAGAAACATGAGGATGTAACTAAGTGTTCTAGGCTGAGGGAGGGTGAATCAGGGTAGAGCATAGTAAGCATATGGATCTTAAATAAGATTTCAACATTAATTTTCTATAGGAAAAACATTGAAAACTATTTTAAAATGTTCCATATGATAATACTTATTATTTCTACTTCTGGTAAGTAATTAAAAGCAAGAAAGGGCCCTAGAAAATCCATTTTGTAAAACAAAAACAGTTCATTTATAACTGACAACATGATCTGTCTCAACTACGTGTTTTCTTTGTACTTTGATCTTTTCCTACTGATATTTAAGTTGCTGTTTTATGGTCTTTCCTAATGATAAAAGCAGACTTCTTAGAAATCACCTGAGCCAGACCTGGGAGTCTGAAAGAAGTAGGCACTGGAGGAAGAAAAATGGGCTGTGATAGAAACTGTGGACTTATTGCCGGTGCTGTCATTGGTGCCATTCTGGCTGTGTTTGGAGGTATTCTGATGCCAGTTGGAGACATGCTTATTGAGAAGACGATTAAAAAGGTACACATAGTTATTCTATTTCATTCTATATTCTGTCCCTTTTTGCTTTGAGTACCTTGTTTGTATTTCATGGTAACTAGTTATTTTGTGTCTTCAAAATGAAGGAATTCTATGTTAGAGAAATATTGCAAATATAATGTTTAACATGACCGAATTGCTATAAATAAATAAATTTAACAACTATAAATATCCAAATTCTGATAAAAGCTATTCAGTGGTATACCCATTAGTAGACATAATCTATTTTAATTAGTCTAATGAATATATTTTGCATGAGAAGTATATTTATTAAAGCAGTTGCAATTCAATTAATAAAAAGTAGATTTAGTTGTGTGTGTGTGTGTGTGTATCTTTTCCCAAGGGATTTTTTTTTCTAGTGACTTCATGCTTTCTCTAAATTATAGCTAAAAGTTTCTAACCAGTATTTTTCTCTTATGATTTCTTATTGATTTGTGTGAAGCCATTAGGTTTATGCAATCTTGTTAGATTAAAGTCAATGGCATGAGCTGCTGTGAATGCAGAAACTATCAGTGCACTCTGAAAAAAAGTGAACATTATAAAAGATAATTTATCACATGAGACTAATATGCTTCATAAGTGTGTAGTGAATATTGTATAGCACAGGTAATTTTAAATAAATTTTAATTTTCTTATGACATTAACTATTAGACACCATGAAGGGAAGTAGTCTTTTTTCTACTAGTGAAGAAGTTGTGGTAGTGATTAAGGAGGATAAAGATTTTCAGATGTTTCTTCTTTGTAAGGATGTTTTCATTTCACAGGAGAGAAAACATTAAATGATTAAATAGCAGAAAAAGAAATGCCACATGACTGGTGTAGAGAGTAAACATAAACAAAACAGAGCAGTCTAGTAGTAAATGATAGAATTCTCCCTCTAGAGGGCAATCGGTTTATGTGTTATAGCTAGCATTTATTGAATGCTAATATGTGCTAATACTGTTCAAAGTGCACATTTATTAATCCTTAAAATAACACAAGGATACATATTTTAATTATATTCATTTTGACTTTTAAAGATGCAATTTCATGTCGTTTAACCTAATGTTATTACTATTACTATCCCAATTGACAGATGAAGAAACTGAAGTTTAAATGATTTGCATATGATCAAAATGGTGATTAAACTCATAAATCTAGTTTCATTGTTAATCACTTCACTCTATGCTTTGAGGGAAGATGACACTATACTTGGTTGGGGTAATAGCAATGATCAAGTAAGCATTTGACTAGATAGAAGATGTTACTTCAATTTGAAAGTATATCAGGTCAGTAACAGAATTGAAGTTTCAAGGTCAATGACCCAGGTGGAGACATGCCAGAAGAAAGTCACCAAGTTGAAATCCAGTCACTGGATAGATTATCTACTTAAAGTGAGTCACACTAGTGAAATCAACCAAGTGAGAAGATCTTAAATTATTTTATTATCAGGCTTGTACTTTAAATTTAGCAAAAGACAAAAAAGACAAATCTATAGGTAGCCCAAATTCAATTTAAAATCAAGCTCTTTTAAATTCACTTGGACATAAAATCTTTTGCTCCTTTAAAAAGTATAGGAACTTTCAAGATATTTGTCTCAAGGAATTTTTTTCTTTCTATAGTAGTGTCAGGTTTAAGAAGAAAGTTTTCAATTATTGAATATTTCAATATTTTTCTTTTTCACTCAATCATGAAGTTATGGAAACTATACAACATTGGTGCAAAAAGAATGATTTCTCCATTATCTGCTTAATTATATGGCCCATTTTTTAAAAATTTATATATATATATTTAAGGTTCATTTCTTCAGGGAAAAAAAGGATGGCATCAGGTAGTTGCTAACTCAGCAATTCATTTCAACTATATGTGGTTCAATTTTCTCATTTTTAAAAATCTATCAAGATCAACAGATAAAGTGATTCATGATTTTTTAAAGAAAAACACGATACACTTACAATGTCTTTTGCACACACTTTAGAGTTAGGGAGAGGTTTTGTTCTCCCAAGTATATTCTATTAGAGTTCATTAAGATCTGAGTTAATATAGGTGCCTTGAAAGGTACTTAATAAATTGTCTTGTATTAGCCCTTAATATTCTTTTTTTTTTTTTTTTTATTTTAATTTTCTAGAGGCATGTCTTATTTATCTATTTGTTTGTTTGTTTGGTTTATACATGCACTGGGTACAGTCAGAAGCGCGGGAGGGTGAGAGAATTCACCAGAGCCAGAGTGGGGAGCAGAGCAGGCAGAAGGACCGAAGTACACTGCTGAGGGGAGCAGCGGGCGGCAGGAGAGGTCTGCACGCCATGTGGGACCCTCCTCCGGTGGCCGGGGAGCAGCCGGGGATCGAACCGGCGCCGCAGAGGCCGCGGGCAGCTTCGCAACCCAGCGCTCAACCGCTGCGCCACCTGGGAGGCCCAGCCCTTAATATTCTTACAGTGAGAGTAAGAATGTGTATGTTAATTTTTCCCTCATAAAGTCTCTTGGAATGCATAAATTAATATAGCATTACACTCCTGCATATATTTCAGCCTCAACACCTTCATCAAACACCTTTACATTTAAAAGAACAGCAACAACACTTCAACTATCTATATCTAATTTTGTCTTACTATTGGGCTCGTTTGTGTGGAAATAGTAATTTTAGGGGCAAATAAAAAGTTTTTCAGGGACAATGGGTATAAAAATAAAAATTTTTCATCAATTTAGCAACTCCAGTATACCCAATGACATGGGTTGCAACAGCACAGAATTTTGAAATGAATTTTACTTGCCCTGTTCTCTAAGGAATTCTCTTATTCTCTTGCATTAAGCAATAAGTAAAATATCCTGAAGATATGAAACTTAATTTTACTTCTACCAACTAAGTGTAGAGGGTGACAGGAAAACAAGACAGCAATAGCATGGTATGAAAGAAAACTAGAGTAAGGGTCAGAGAATAGGGCTCTCATGTTCCAGTATGCCTAGGTTACTCTTGGGCCAGACACCTGGTTTCTTGGAGCCTCAGCTCTGCTACAAAATGTGACAATGTTTATACCCTTTTCTGATCCATCATTCTGTGAATAACACTTCCAGGTGAAGGAAGCAAATAGGTCAGTTTGTTCCTATACATTAGGCTCCCTTTCTGTGAAATATTTCTCTTCCTCTTCCTCTAGCACAATAAAGTATGTTGGAGTTTTCCATCCTGGGCATATTTCCCAGTGAGTTGGAAATACTACCTGCTACAAAATCACCATTGTTTGCTATTAGTTGCTATAGCTTCACGGACTTTTGGCATAGAGACTGGGAAGGTAACTGAGAGAGCATCTATGATAATACCCTCCTTTTATACACGTGAAATTGATCCTCAGGGGGTTGGTAAATTTCCACTGGATCCCACAACTCTTAGAGTGAGGGATGATACATATATCTGAAGTGGTATGTATCTGCACCCCTCAGTTATATACACTGTTGCAAATAATCACTGCCTCAATAAAAAATAAAATAAAAAAATTAGTAGCCTAATAATAATGAATTAGACTAGTGTTCTTTTTGGAAACATGTAAATTGGGTTGCAACAAATACATGTAGAGTTAGGAAAGCCATATTGTGCAGAATCTTAAAAAGAGCAGAAATTTGCATTTTTCATCCAGAAGTATTTTTCTTGAAATAATTGTAATCATGCCCTGAAGTGTCCAGCTGGTGAAGAAAAGTAAAAAGCCTCCAATACCACTTGATTTTTGTTTTTCTCTTTTGCCTCATCAATATGTCTCACTGAAGGAAGAAAAGTTAATGTTCAACTAATAAGGCCTTTTTGAAATATTTAATGAAGTTTGCTTAATAAATTCTGCTTTTGCAATATTGCCATAGGGTCACTGTGAAGTTTGTCAATTGCTGACTTTAAAAATCAATGCACATTTCAATTGCTTCTCTGCCTTTTGGCTAAGATTAAGTGTAGAATCAACAGACATTTCTGAAGTATTACACACTGATTATTTTGTAAAAACTTAAGAGGTTGCTATAATTTGTTAAAAAAACATTTCTGTTGAATGTATGTGGCAAAGTTTCCAAGGTTCTCATGAACAAGATACTCGAGCTTGATACCATCACTAGCTAAGTAAAGGTTATAAACTCCCAGTAGTACCCATTAATTACTACAAATATAACTCAGACTTGTTTTCTTTTTAACTAGGAATCTGTTCTTGAAGATGGTACAATTGCTTTTCAAAATTGGGTTAAAGCAGGCTCAGATGTATACAGACAGTTTTGGATCTTTCATGTGCAAAATCCAGATGAAGTGGTGAAGAATGGTAGCAAAATTAAGCTTAAGCAAAGAGGTCCTTACACATACAGGTGAGCACGTCCACACAGATAAGCCTCACTCTTTCCTTGACCATATGTGTGTCCGAAAACTTTTACTTGACAAAAGCCATTGAGTTGACATGTACTTATTTTCTATTCAAAAATAAACATAATAATCTGTGTCTATATAGAATCCTAGTTTAATAATTGTAAGAAATAAAAGATTATTATAATAAATTTAGCAACATCAAATAGCTGCATTACCTTTAAGAAATTTCAGATATTTTATTCCTGTAACATATATTCTTAGCAACTCTGAAATATGCATGCTGAATAGAAAAAATGTCAAGTTTAAAAACCAAAGTATTTTAAAATTCTAAAATGTTATATCAATGGTTCTTAAGATGTGGTTCCTAGACCCAGTGTTAGCATCACCTGAGAGCTGGGCAGAAGTACATCTTCTCAGGCCCCACCCCGGCCAAGTAAGTCAGTGACTTAGTTTGGAGCCCAGCAAGGAGCTTTACAAACCTTTTCGGTGATTCAATTTTGAGAACCATGAAATTAAACTGATATCCCATAACAGCAGTACTTGCTAAATATTTCTATTCCAACTCATTCCCAGATCATTTAGGTGCTTATGTATATCTAATAATTTCATTCTTTTATCTTCCCAAGTACTGGGACTGAATGTGCTGTAATTTTTATCGTGCATTCCCTTATAGCTTAACACACTTTTGAATAGAATCTTAGACAATTAGAACTAGGGAGAAATGATTAGCAGAACTTTTCACTTTGTAAATTAAAACAACTAACTGACACTAGTGGATGTTTAGTTATTGGTCTGTGTTCACACAGCCCCAGGAACTGTTATTATGTGTTAAACAAGTATGTGATTTTCTTTCAAGGATAATTACAACTAGAATACACCGTGATCAATTCTTACCATAAAACTTCGTATTTGTGATTATTTCTTAAAATTCATAGTTTTATAGTTATATGCCTAGGCAGATATTTTATAATTATATAATTTTCTCTTTTCCATCGATTAACTCACCGTCAACATTTACAGTGACAGTAAGTGTAAGGGGAGTGGCCACTGCCTTAGCACATGCTACATAAATTGCCTTGGTGTCTATTCCGGTTTGCAATTTTTGCCATCTTCTGTTTTTATCACGTCTATACTTATTTACAACTTTGTTAAAGAAGATATGGTCTCCATTATTACAAAAAATTCTTACCTTGGAAAATTTTTTTTTCATGGTCTTTTAGTTTTTGTTATTAGCAAAAGCCCATTATCAATATCTTTGTTTCCAAAAATATTGTAGCTATGGTGTGAAAATCTAGATTGCACTTGTGGTTTAATGAGAATCCAAGCATAATTTTTTTTAAATCATAACAAGAGTATGAGTAAAGAGAATAATGACTATAATTTGAGAACTCATTTTCTGTTTTATTATTTGTGGGAAGAGGGTAAGGTTTTTTACCTTTTTAGCTTTAAGAATAGTACTTGGTTACAGAAACAAAAACATTGACTCTAATCCATCTCTGCTAGGTAACAGTTAAGATATATTTTATCCAGAAGCTTATCTAAGAAACATAAGGTGAATGGGGTAAATACACTTGCTTTATGTAGAGAAGCATTGGGGGTAGAGTTGACGTAGAGAAGATGAATTTGAAGCTAAAGTTTATAAACAATTAACTCCTATTTATATGATAATTATAAAGTGATTTCTGATCAGCTAGGGGTCATCTTTTTATGTGCTATCACCAAGAAAAATAACTAATGTCTGCTTTGATGCCTTAACAAGGGGAGACAGCTAGTGACCTTTCAGAAAAAGTTAGTAGTTTGAGAGTCTTCTAGGTATTCAGGTAAAATTGCCTTCATAAATTATACCCTGAATCCATTTGAAATTGTGTTTGGGAGAATGTCCCTCCCCAGACAGGACCACAGGCTGATGCATGTTGAAGTGAGGTTGATGAAACTTTGATCAACAAGAAAAGGACATGGGTCAGAGAATGAAATTGCCTAGATTGAGACATTATATTATCTCTCTGAAGGCTAGATAATTCTTTCAGAATATTCTCACGTCCAACATAAGCTTTTCTGTACTTTGCTTTTACAGCAGAGCAAAACAACAAAAAACCAATCTTGGGACCAAAAATCCTAGGGAAAATGCCTCCCTTTTACTTTATTAATCTACACTTTTGAAAACCTGTATATCCCCTCATTTTGAATTAAAATGAATGACTAAGGTCTCTTTTTAAAAGTACACACATCAGTTTTAAGGCTTTTTCTCTTAGTGAGTGCCATCTGCTGGTAAAATATTTAAGTACAGTTTAAGTAAGCTCTAGAATTTGGGTCACAATTATTTTGCTACATTTTCAATTATTATATATGCATAGATGTTCCTGAAAAATTAAAGTTCTACAGTTTGAAATGTTAATGACCTTTAATCTAATTTTAAAATGCAGTTATCCGAGAGAAAACAGTAATTGACTAGCAATATACTTCCTGGGTACTGTTTCAGATTTTTAGATATTTTTATAGTAATCCAAGTAATCATGTAGTAAAGCTTTAGTGAAACTATATTAAATTATATATAATGTAATTATATAATTATGTTGTAATTAATAAATACCTTTCAAAGTGAGTTTTTGAATGAATTTTGAAAAACTATCAGTCATTTACTCATTAAAAAAAAATTATTAGGGGCTTTCTGTGTACCAGGCACCTGCTTGGTGATACAGAATACTCTTTTTTTTTATACATACAAGATCTGGTGTACAGGCTAGAGATGTGGGGCTTGAGAGGAGTCACCAGACACAGAACAAGCAGACTGACTGAAATACACTGCTGAGGGAAGCAGTGGGCTAATCAGGAGAGGTCTACTGTGCCATGTAGGTTGCTCCCTAGCTGTCTGGGTTTGAACTCGTGCTACAGAGGCTGCAGATTGCTTCATAGTGCGGTGCTTAGCCCTTTGCTCCACCAGGGAGGCCTGATACAAAATACTCTTAATCCTGCCCTACAGGAATTTATATTAAGCCTGAGTAAAATGTGTTAAAGACTGAAAAAAATTGGAGGTGAAATGTCTAAATTTATCTTACCTACACATTCAAATATGTGATAGTACAATTAATGCTATATATCTTATTTCACATCAGTGAATATTTTGAAATACTTTTCTCCATAGTAGTCATATTTTACCCCTCCCTAAAAATTAGTTGGTACCCTGCAGCATCAAGATGTTATACCTAGGAACTTATAACTAATAAATATCCCATATATGGAGAATTGGTCTATAGCCTTTAAAAATGGCTATTATTTTCCCATTTTTTATCTTTAACAAAGGTTTTGGAAAAGCTAGCATTTTGGGTGTTCTTTTTAAAATCAGAAAACGTGCTCTTAATATTCTCGCTGCTTTAAATGTTCCTACTTTTTCCTCCTTAACCTCAGAATAAAGGTCAAACATATGGGATAGGTTCAACCCTTTTCCTTTTATTCATCATTCAGACAATTTACATGGAATTGCTATCAAAATGGGACCTGACACTCATCCTAAGCCTAGATTTGTAAATGTTCTGGGTTCTCCCATGGACATTGTGTAAACTTCTGTAATGCATTTCTCCTGCTATACTAATTTCCTGTTTGAAAATTTAAACCACTTAGGATTAGTTTGTTAGAGCACTAGCATTGGCTTATTTATCATTTTAAACCAGCTGGTTGCCATACTTTCTGACATCTTCTTCTAGGTACTAAAAAACCATGTGTTGCATGAATGAATAAGTATTTGAGGCCTAAAGTGTACTTGAGATGGTAATTTTAAAATATTTGCTTTTGTTTTTCAGAGTTCGTTATTTAGCCAAAGAAAATATAACCCAAGATACTGAGAACCACACAGTCTCTTTTGTGCAGCCTAATGAGGCCATCTTCGAACCTTCAATGTCAGTAGGAACAGAGAATGACACTCTCACTGTTCTCAATCTGGCTGTAGCAGTAAGTAGACACACAATCATTTGTTTTGATGTACTCTAGGACCCACTATAATTTCATGGTTAGAACCATTCTTACATCTTATTTATTTTTTATAAGAATGACAAATGTGTTCCCGTGATGTTATTCGGAATGCAGATACGATCATTTGTAAAGATGACAGTCATAATAATCAACTGAATTAGAAGACACCTGAAGTGTATCTTTAAAAAAACAAGTTCACATGGAATGTTTTCTTGTAGCCAACTCTGAGGCAGAGAAAGGAAATCATTAGATATTGGTCAAATTAAAACTACTGCAGAATATTTCTAGGTCCAACTAAAGAGACAGTTAATAGAAATTTTTATTAAACTTCACGTCTAGGATTTCATGTATTTGCTGAAAATCATATTGGGATTTAATTAAAAAATAAAACAACATCAACAGTGTTTTATTTTTTGTTTGTGTGTTTTGTAGGCTGCACCTCATCTCTATCCAAATGCATTTGTTCAAGTGCTACTTAATTCACTTATCAAAAAGTCAAAGTCTTCCCTGTTTCAAAACAGAACTGTGAGAGAGTTCTTGTGGGGCTATACAGATCCTTTCTTGAGTTTGGTTCCTTACCCTATCCCTACCACAGTTGGTGTGTTTTATCCGGTGAGTGGCAAATTGGTGTGTTTTATCCGGTGAGTGGGAAGGGTCTATTTTAAAGTGAATGAATAACAAATGCAATTAATAAATTTGTAACAGTGTGTTAATCCTATTTCTGATTTGGGAATGCATACCTATTTTTTTAAAAGTCCCTCTTTTACATGGCTGAAACTTTCATGTTTGGAAAGTCTATTGATTCGAATGGAGCAGTTAAATTTTAAATTACGATTTAATCAGGCCTCCAGATTCAGATACACAATTTGTCTAAAATTAGTTTTTAAGCCTGAAAGGCATTAAGTAGTAATTTCAACTTTGATATCCTTCCTCAAAAAAATCAGATTAATACATCATTTTTAAATTAAATGTATTCATATATATCAAATTATCATCAGTTTGTCTATAAGAACATATAGCAGGTCACTAATGTCATGAAATGGAAGCTTGGAGATACAGGAAAATGTGAAGTTGGTGATATAGTTCTGAAATATAAATAGTCAAATTCCAATTTAATGATCTGCTTGTAGTATGATTTCATTTGGCACTATGTGATATTTGTAAAATCCTCCAGTTTATTATTTTACTTTCAGATAATCTTTAGAACCGAAACATTATATGTCAATTAAATATGAATGTAAATACCCTAAGGACTCACAGATTCAGTTATTTTTCAAACTCAAATACTCATAGCTCTTCCCTTGGCTAATTCTCTTAATTTTACAAACCTAATTTTCTATAACCACTTATTAAGCATAACATTTAGAATATTTCTAGAAAACTGTCATTCATAGGTTTTGTTCAATATCTTGTCACCTCAATGTAATAGGAGTAATGATCAAAACTACCTTCCTGGTATACAGAGTACCAGAGTTTGGATCATGTCAACTTCTGAAACTTGTTTTCTTCCCTTGTCTTTGCATCTAGCACTTGTTTCTAAGCATCTTTCATATATTATATTTTTAAAACATTAAGGCCTTATTGGATATATATTTCAAATCATTTAAAATAATTGCAAATGACCAGAATGAGAAATGCAAAGTGAATTGTTTTTATAATTTGCAAAATATTGTTTGTTCTAAAAATGTGTGCATGTGTATCTTTTCAGTACAATGATACAGTGGATGGAGTTTATAAAGTTTTCAATGGAAAAGACGACATAAGCAAAGTTGCCATAATCGACACGTATAAAGGTAAAAAGTAAGTATCCAGGTGAAATGTGTGTGTTACTAGGTCACTCACAGGAAGGAGGGTATATGTTTAACAACCAGTACAGTACAGCTACTGACCTGTGGGACAGGCCTACCTGGATCTCAGCCCTGGATTTTCCTGTTCTTCCAGATATTAACCCTTCTCTTGTGACAACTAGTAACTGAATATTGTTCCCACTTTCAGGTTTGGTTTACCTTTATGCACAGGTTTTTCATATAAAAAAAAAAATCCAAAGGGATACATATCTCTACTCCCATACAACTAGATAATCACAGGTAAAAGGAAGAAAATCAGTGTATCAATTGATCTTTTAGCAGGTAGAAAAATATACTGACTGTTTTTAAATATTTAAGTTAATCTCAAGTTTTTAGCTCCAGTGGCATGACTTTATAAAGGAAGCTTAGTGAATCAACACTTTCATTTCTTAGGCTCTACAAAACTCTCCTGAAATACTCAGCTTTTTAAAACCTTAATCAGTTTATAAGTGGAATTAGTATTTTAGTACAATTCTAAAATTTACATAGAACTCAAATATGAGGTATCTCCATGTATTGTTTTCCTAGCTCCTACCTATTCATCTGGAATATACACAACATATATATATATATATATATATACACACACACACACACACAACTTATATATAAGTTGAAAACTTTATAAACTCCATCCACTATATCATTGTACTGAAAAAATACACATGCACACATTTTTATATATATATAAAATAGGAAGAACTCTGACAAACATCAAAAAAAACCCTCAAAAATGTGTATCAGACCAATATTAAATGGAAAAAGGAATAAAAAGCAAAAGAGAAAATGTTATAATTAAATAACCTTAGTCTCAGAGTCCCTAACTAAATATCGTATACAACAGTTAAATATTCACTGGTGTAAAATTTCCTTCCATAGTCAACATGTTTTCATAGAAAAGTCTAGTGGAGGAAAACAAGCAATTCAAAATGCTCATTTCATGAGACATCACAGCCCTGTTTTTATGCTGAGGAACATTTTCTCCATTTCAACATTATAGAGTGCTTTAGAGGTGAGTTGCTAAGTGCGCCTAACTAGAGGTAGAATTTCACATCAATTCAGGATTATGATAGGGTTAACTTAATCATGATCATTTTTGACATGATAGTTAACAGGTTTTTGTGTTTAGAAATGAAGCACTTAGCATGTCATTGGCTGATAGGTCAGGACTAAGAAAAATCAGTTTCCCATGATCAAAATATTCTGAAGATTCAGAGAAAATATTTTATTGCTATATTATTGGTATATTTTATTATTATATATAAAAACCTACATACCAAAGTATAAATAAATAAACTGTTATACTTTAATGCTAGTTCTCATACAAGGGTTAACAGAGGGGGAAGTATAACTGACTTTTACATTTTCAATCTGTGATCAAACACCTGCTGCTCTTTCTCCCCACCTTCTACTCCCTCATACCATTTATATGTGACCCAATTTATCTTTTCTTCCTATTCAGTGTGAACATTCAACAAGCTACCAAATAATTCACTACTCCTTTTGGAAAAATAATCTTCCCTTAAGTAGAGACCTAATTTCTGATAAATATTTCTCAAGTTTCTTCTTTCAGAATTGAGTATTATATAACTTCTAATTAAAAACATTTGGCAGTTTTTGTTAGAATCTGTCCACTTCATGATATTAGCCACTTAAATGATCTCAGCAAAATAAAGCATCAGACCAAAAATAGGACCTAATTATTAGAACATTTCTGAAATTTAGCTGTTAGCCTTTGTCACATCTAGTCATTATTCTAGGTAAAGTGTTGAATCATGATAGACGAAGTAATGTAAAAAAGGTACTGTTAAAATGAGAATGTTTGTTCATTTTTCTTTCTTTTTATTCCTAAGAACTCTCTCCTATTGGCCAAGTTATTGTGACATGGTTAATGGTACAGGTAAGAGCATTTGTTTTATGATAATAATCACTGGTCAGCTGACTTGCTCTCTCAAAAATGCAGTCACATCTACAGTGTTGTGTTGTGGGAATAAGTTTACCTATTTTGATATCCCCCAAACATCATTCAGAATCTCTGTTCTTATACAGACTATATCTATATCTAAGTGTATATCTAACTACTGAGATGGGATTTCTGAAAATGAACCATCAAGGACTAGCTTTTACTGCATTTCTAGGGGGATGATTTGCTTTGTAAAAGCTTAACTTAATGACTTGTCATCATTAAGAAGACATTAAAAAACCTTAGAGAAGTAGTTCCTGTTCACATTTTTGTATAGACTATAGAGACCATTTAAGTTAAAAGAATAGAAATACAAGATAGATGATTACAAAATGTAAAGCCTACTACTAATGAGGTTGCTGAGATAGAATCAGAGTTACAAGACTGTCATCTATGTTGAGTAAGATGATCAGAGTTAAGAGTAGAAATCATCAACGACAAATTGTGTTTAAAAAAGTGACAGATTGCATTGACATCTCATTAGCTGATATGTTCGGAGGGGTCAAAATTAGATGCTTATTAATCATGAAAAATGTATGTAAAAGTGAACATTTTGGATGGGGGCTACAGAGTACTATGAACTGAGATTTAGAGTGTGGTTAGACTTGGCACAGCAGACCTCTCCTAACTCACCCGCTGCTCTCCTCAGCAGTGTATTTCAGTCAATCTGCCTGTTCTGTTCCCCTCTGTCTCTGGTGAATCCTCTCACGCCTTGCACCTCTGGCCTGTACCCCCATTCTTGAATGCAAAATAAGTAAATCTTTCAAAAAAAAAAAAGAAAAAGTGTGGTTAGGCTTGACTTATTCTCCTTTAAGAAAAGCAAATTAGTTTAAGAATGAAGATTTTTAAAAAGCAGTGGGAATCAAATACCACAAGGTAATTAAACTCAGAGGTGAGTTTTCAACTACTAAGAAGCAGAAGCCTGATGTTTACAAAGTTGGTTAGGCAATACCCTGCAGGTAAATTACATAATTAAGATGAAGAAAGTTTAAATTCAAAGTTACATAAAAGGGAATTAAAAAACAGGGAATGTTTGCTTTTCCAAAGGTATTACTGAGTTTTGTATGTTTAACTTTGTTGTCATGTACTTGTAGGAAAAATATCAAAAACTGTTGAGTTTGCTTTGTAGCACTTTGAACCATGGGACTTGAAGACATTCCATTCTAATTAAAGCATTTCTGCAAATAAACTGTGCAAGTTCCCAATACTCCTAACTCTAGTAATTGTATAAGCGTAACACTTCAGTCCTTAGATACAGAGAGACTATACAGTGCTGCCACAAAATAGGATTTTTTATGGGCTGAAAAAAGTTGAATTCTGTCTAAAGTTAAGCAGTAGGGAAGTTTCACAGGAGGAGCTGAGCATTCACTTACAACATTAGTATAAACACAGGAGCATTAGGTATGAAGTTAAAATTGGGAGAAAAGTAGAAGGAAAACAACTTAAGAACAGAGGTAGATTGAGCAGAACAGCAAACTCTGATGTGATCCCTGTGAGAGATATTCTTAGTTACAGCACTAGGGAAAAGAGACTAATGAAACAAAAGTTTCCAGTGTGTTTTCATTATGATTTAAGTGTTTCCTCTACTTTCTTCAGTAAATATGAACATATTTTCGATTTATGTTTGAATATTTTTAAAGATCTGTTCATATTTGCTCTTTCTCTTTTGCCCATAATAATTACTAGACATAATCGTGACATAATCTTCAATAATATTTCAGAAAATTATTTTTAAAGCTTTCATTGTGTTGTATTCATTTCAGGGGTTAGGGATTGGGAAGCAGTTGTAGCAGTGCCCATTCAGGACCTATCTGGAGAGTTTAAGCTAAATTGTAATACCCAGTTCTCTCAATGTCAGGGTCAAATTCTCTGATCTTTCATTATATTTCACTTATCACAAGATCATAAGTGAAATATAATAGGATCAGAAGGTTGATACATTTCCTGGAGGAAAAAAGAAAACGTGTAGTGCATAATTGAAGAAGGGTGGTACCCTTTTGAACAAAGAAGTTCAGTGTTTACTCATTTGGTGATATTGATTTGAGGAGCAAAAGGATGAATTATCTAGCTGTTTCTTCACATTTCCAGTATATGCCAAGTAGAAATTCAGTAAACTCAACCAACAGCCTTTCAGTGTTACAGATTTTCACACAATTTTCAGGAAATTCTGTCTAATAAGGAAATTTAATAAGTGATTTAAAAATTATTCAGCAGCCATTAGGACAGATTAGTGAATCATTATCAAAAGTAAGAACTTGAATAGGAATTCTAAATGGCAAGAAAAGTGCTACCATTTCAACAACATAAGATTTTGTCATTATTTTTAAAACTTATTGTTAAAGAGTGAGGAAATTTAACTTGCATACCAATGAATGTCTATAGTATACAGATTTGTTGAATATGGTAGCTGTCTCTACCATGTGGCTTTATTCCAATGTCCCTTTTAAACACATGAAATGTGACCAAAATTCACTGTAGTGGAAAATTATGTAGTTTGAGATTTTGTTAATTTTTATACTGATGACATGTTGAAACTAAGATAATTGGGATATTTTTGGATATATTGAGTTGAGTAAAATACATCTAACTTTTTTTAATGTAGTTACTAGATACTTATAAACTGTGTGTGTGTGCGTGTGTGTGTATATATATATCAGTCAAAACGCAAACCCTATTATATTGTTGATGAGAATATGAACTGGTACAACCATTTTGGGAAGGGATCTAATTTACATGAAACTAAAAATGAAAGTATTCTATGACCTGACAGTCCCACTTTGGGGTATCCATCTGAAGAACATGAACCTGTCAAGTTAAAAAAAAAATATTCTGCAATGTTTATTACAGCATTATCTATGAGAGCATTATCTATTGATACATGAAAACAATCTAAATTCTCACTGATAATATTAAATCAAGAAGATGTGGTATATATCCACACAATGAAATAGTATTTAGCTACAAGGAAAAATAAAATGTTGCCATTGAAACAGCAAATGGGAAGGACTTTGAGGGAATTGCATCTAGTAAAGCAAGTCAGAATGACAAACACAAATGTTGCACATTTACATAGCATATGATTCAACAAAGCAAAATACTTATAAAGACTAGTGGACACTGGGGCCTCCCTGGTGGCTCAAGGGGTTATGACCCAACCTCTGCAGCACGAGTTCCATCTCCAGCTGGCCAGCGAGCAACCCACATGGCGCAGCAGACCTCTCCTGCTGCTCCCCTCAGCAGTGTACTTTGGCCAATCTGCCTGTTCTGTTCTCCATTCTGTCTCTGGTGAATCCTCTCACCCCCACCCCCACCCCCGCACCTCTGGCCTGTACCCCAGCTATTGAATGCATAAATAAAAAAATCTTTAAAAAAAAAGACTAGTGGACACATAAACAATGTGAGGTTTCTGAGGAGGGAATGGTCAAAGGGAGTAAGAGATAGTGGTGGGAAAATAAAAGAATAGAGGGTCTTAGGAAAACTTCTTTCCAACAACAAAACATAAAACTAAACCTAAAAGAAAAAAATTACATATTCAGTTTGCACTAAATTTCTGCTAACCATGCTGAGATAGAGATTTATAGATTTTTCTAGGACACACATCGCATCTAATTCCTTGCCACTGACTTGACTTTTAAACAGATGGAGCCTCATTTCCACCTTTTGTTGAGAAGAGCCGGGTGTTGCAATTCTTTTCCTCTGACATTTGCAGGTAAGAAAAGATAACAATGTATTTCTGTGAGCTAAAACTTTTCCCCCAAGTGACAAAATGCAGACCAAAAAGTTCATACTTAATAGTTAATTATCATGGTATTTGAGAAAAAGAAAATATAGTTCAGAAAATTTTTCTTGTTTTAGTGACAATGAATACAATAATGTGTAATTAATGTTTATTAAATCAAAAAAAATCAAGGACTTAGGTTATGTCAGATAGCACAGAAGCATTGGTTGTGTTACTTGTCTAAACAAGAAGGATTTTGGGCCTCCCCGGTGGCGCAGTGGTTGAGCGCTGGGTTGCGAAGCTGCCCGCGGCCTCTGCGGCGCCGGTTCGATCCCCGGCTGCTCCCCGGTCACCGGAGGAGGGTCCCACATGGCGCGCAGAGCTCTCCTGCCGCCCACTGCTCCCCTCAGCAGTGTACTTCGGTCCTTCTGCCTGTTCTGCTCCCTGCTCTGGTGAATTCTCTCACCCTCCCGCGCGCTTCTGACTGTACCCAGTGCATGTATAAACAAACAAACTAAATAAATAAATAAATAAAGCATGCCTCTATTTAAAAAAAAAAATAAACAAGAAGGATTTTTCCCTTCTTTTACTCCACTATCAGTCTATTTAATAAGCCAAGTCTAGAATGGTATGCCCAGTTTTTCTAATGTCTACAGAAGATGATGCATGAGATTGTTAGTGTGTGCCACTACCACTATTATTATTGTTACTGAGGTAACATTGATTTAGATCAGTATGTTTTAGAAGTATTGGATCTCCCCCTCCAGAGTTGCTAGCATACTGCACCCAACACCAGGGCACCCACAGTCCACCCACCACCTTGTTCCATTGTGCTCACTCCCCATTTTGTTCTTGTCCCTTCCCCTTTATCCCTCTGGTAACCTCAATTCTACAGTCAGCAACTAGAGTCCTTGGTTTGACTTCTACTGACATTTTGGTTTCTCTATATTCCACATGTAAATAACATCTGGTATTTGTCTTTCTCCTGTTAACTTATTTCTCTTAGCACAATCCATGCCATCTTTACAAATTGATGGGGCCCAGTAGATACCATACGGGCATTGAAATCACACCAAACACTTGAATCCTAGCCCTGTTCCTAAATTCTGTGTTTGTGGACAAGCACTTAACATCTCTGAATCTTCTAGTGATCTGTAAAACTGAAGAGGCAAGTTTCTTATAGGGTTATCTGGGATTAGAAGAAACAACAGCCCCACACATTGCCTAGATTCTGCTGGATGCTAGTAAATGGTGGAAGCATATGAGAGCTTCATCAGCACTTATATGCACACCTCCCTGGAGGAGATGGCCTTTCTCTACAGGGTAAATTTTGAAAACCAAAATTTCACTTAAACTTGGCACAGATGAAAGATTTGAGGCTCATATACAAATTTATGGAAGAAATTAACAAGAAATGTCCATAAGGAGGACATTTGAGTATATGTATAGATTTTGTGTTCTTTATAGCTCGCAGGCAAAAATTGCTCCCAAAAGTATTTGAGAACAAATGTAAGAATAGCTTACTTGGGTTCTGAGTTCTAGTATGACTTAATTCTTAGGAAAAAAGTTGTCATGAAATGTTAAGCAAAAATAAAAAACTAAGGGGGAAAAAATCCCTAGCATAGAGTTCAGGTAACTTAAATAGCTTTTACTCATCTGTGTTTTAGGTCAATCTATGCTGTGTTTGGAGGTGAGATTGATCTGAAAGGAATCCCTGTGTTTAGATTCGTTCTTCCACCCAAGGCCTTTGCATCTCCAGTTCAAAATCCAGACAACCATTGCTTCTGCACAGAAAAAGTTATCTCAAAAAATTGTACATTGTATGGTGTACTAGACATCAGCAAATGCAAAGAAGGTGAGTAAATATTCTCAATATCACATCCCCTGACAATTTGCATTATTCTTTAAAATATAGCCTTTACCCAGGATTCCTTTCCTCAAAAATTTAAAATTAAAACGAAAAAATACAGTCCTTACTTTCTGTCCTTGTTCATGAGGTTCCAGATGTGTATTAGTTTTGTAAAACTTGGTTATTAGATAAAAGCACACTGATATTTTCCTGTGCTACTATGGAAAATGTTGATTTGGGGGTTTCTGCCCATTCTCTAGGTTTTTGGGTTTTTTTTTTTTCCAATTTTCCATGTGTCAGTTCCTTTTATGTTTTGGACATTAGACAAAAGGCTTGCAAATATTTTACCCCATTCCACATATAGCCTTTATATTTTGTTGATGGTTTCCAATGCTATGTGGAATCCATGAATTCCTCTTAGACTAAGGTAAAATAAAAATCATGCTCAATACTTTGAGCATCCCAATCTATCCATCTGCAATTTTCTAGCTTTTTCTCCTGACAAAACTGGAAATATGTATTTCAGTAGAAGAATTAAGTTAAATATGTAATTTTGGTCTTGTTTTGCTCATTCCTTTTATTCTGGATTAGATGTGGGTAAAGGAAGTAAAAGCTCTCAAAGATATTCTTAGTCCATTAACAGATTACTGTCTGAAACAAATATATATGGTTAAAGCTTTGTGTTCATAAGCTAAACTTTACATATTGAAAATTAACACCTAAGAAATGAACTGTAAATGCCAATCAAGTGGTTATTAGGATGATACAGAATTTTATTTTACAATAGTGATCTGTGGTTCTATCGATCTCCAACTCCTTTTCACATGAATGTTAAATCCAACCATGCATTTTTTTCATTTTATAACTTTTTTTCTTTAATAATGCTATGTATAGTTCAGCAGTATAGGATCTCACCTCTCTCCTGAATGTTACCACACCACACCTACCAATCAAGGCATCCAGATTTCTCTACCATAGACATTGGGTTCTCTTCCCCTTTTTATTTTTAAGGAATTCTGCTCTGAGTGATATGAAATGAGGAAATGATTGTCCCAATTGTCTCTTAAAACTTGTTTTCAGGAAAACCTGTGTACATTTCACTTCCTCATTTTCTACATGCGTCTCCTGAAATTTTAATCCCTCTTGAAGGCTTACATCCAAATGAAGAAGAACATAGGACATTCTTAGATGTGGAACCTGTAAGTAAATATATTATTGACCTGATTTGTTTAGTTCTTTTTTAAACAAAATTGAAAGAAAGTAAATTTTCTACTGGTTATCCACATTTATTGAATCACAAACTTGATAAATTCCTTTTTTTTTTTTCCATTTCAGTGAAAATTGCATTGATTTCTTCCTATTGCTGCTTATTGGTAATTCCATTTAAGTTTGTTGGCATAGGAACTTTTAGAAACTTTTTTTATTGTCTATAGCTCAGAACTACTGATGATGGAAATGCCTATAATTAACTGAAAACTTTTTGTTATAAATTACTATTAAGGCTGTTTTACTTAACTACAAGTACTGTTGTATATTACGAGGGACTCAATATTTCATATGTATGTGCAAATTTGGGGCAAGATCTATTAGTTTCAATAATCTATAGAATTCCTACAGCAAAGCAATTATTTAAATATTCTCCCTTTCAAAATGAAATGCTAGCATTTTACTAGTAATGTTTCTGTTTAAATAATGATAGACAAACTGGTGATACATGGATTCTGAATAAGTATACTTGACCATGTGTATACAGTCCAAGAACTTAACTATGTGAACTCATCTGTTTCATTGTCGTTGATTACCCATAATCATTTCAGATAAATGTTTTAAATCAAACTAAAACCTTGACATTAGTTTAGGCAAAGAAATCGTGTGGTGTGTATGCATGTATGTATACTGTATTTTATTCTTCTTAATTATATATAACAGTGAAAGTTATAATAGAAGGGTCTTTTTAAAAAGCTAAAAAGGAACTTTGCTGGTGGCGCAGGGGTTAGAGTTTCAACGCTATAAGTGCTATATCAAGCTATTGCCAGCTACTACAGCATGAGTTCTATCTATCCCCATCCAGGCAGCTGGCCCACATGGCATGGCAGACCTCTCCTGTCATCTGCTGCTCCCTCAGCTTTCAGTAGATTTACCTGTTCTGCTCCCCACTCTGTCTCTGGTGAATCCTCTCACCCCCCTGCACTCTGGCCTAGACCCCTGTTCTTGTATGCATAGATAAATAAATCTTCAAAAAAAATGAAAAACTAAAAATCATTTTTTTTTTTTTTAGATAACTGGGTTCACTTTACAATTTGCAAAACGGCTGCAAGTCAACATATTGGTCAGACCAGCAAAAAAAATTGAGTGAGTCTCTTGAAAGGGTTATTGTTATTAGAATACAGCAATCTAATTAGAAATTTGTATTAGAAAGATTTCTAAGAGTGAAAAGATGTCTGAGAAACAGCTCATTAAAATTGCAAATTTCATTATGGGGAACAAAAATCAAGAAATTTAACCAAGTTTCAAGTGCAATTAATTTCTGAACATTTACACTAGTAATTACTAAAATTTCTAAGATATATGTGTTTAATATTAGTATATATTTTCATTTTCAAATGTACATTGCAGGACAATGAAGAATCTAAAGCATGACTATATTGTGCCTATTCTTTGGCTTAATGAGGTTAGTATTTTTATCTATTAGTCTTTAAACATAGTCAACTTCCATCTATATTACAAGGTAGTGGGTGTGGTCACATACATCTGAGGAGGTGTGACCCTGTGCCTCTGAATCACATACAGTGTTGTAAACCAATGTTAACCTCAATAAATAACTTTTTACTATTTCAAAATTGACTAAGTATACATAGCATTTGAAGTTGCAGATGTTTCCAGTGCCCAGAGAGATACAAGCCACACAGCAGTATCAAGTCTGTGCTAGTTTTCAGTGTTTTTCTTTCAGCAAGATTATTTTCAAAATATATCTATAAAATACAGTTTTGTTTTGTTTTTTGTAGTACTTGTCTGAGGAAGGACTCATGCATACATGTAACTGTAAATAACTCAAGATTCACTGATATTACAGTGCTAACACAGACAGACTGGGCCAGGTTAGAGGAGGCACTGGCAGGCTAGCCTATTGCTTGCTAAATGTCTTTAGAGGGATTGAAGCTTTTGACACTTGATATCCCCACTCTGTCACTGGGAAACATCCTTTAGAAAATCATGAACTATTTAAGACCATTCTGAAAATCAAATGACTCCTAGTGTATTGAGGGGTGCTATGTAATGTGTTTAAAGGGATGGGATTATATTTTACTCCAATTACTCCACTTTGACTTATTCCGTTCCTTGACATGCAAAGGGATTCCACTAGCTTGTCTTGTGTGCGCAGCTAACACCCATATAGGCGTTTAGACCAAAGAGATACTAAAGGGATACTTAAGAATATTTTTGCTTCACTAATCCACACAATTCACTCAAATAATGTTAATTAACAACTTGATTACAGACTGCTACCATTGGTGATGAGAAGGCAGAAATGTTCAGAAAGAAAGTGACTGGAAATATACACCTTCTTGGCCTGGTAGAAATGATCTTACTCAGTGTTGGTGTGGTGATGTTTGTTGCTTTTATGATTGCATATTGTGCCTGCAGATCGAAGAAAGTAAAATAAGTAAGTATATATCATAAATGTGTTGTGTTAGTGATTACTTCTTTTCATTTTATCAAAGAGGGGTTATAATTAGGCTGCAAATATTTCTGGACATGTCTACCAAAATATTTTTAATATATCTTCCAAAATTCAAAATGCTTAATTATGAATTAAGACATAAAGGAAGACTGAATGAGTAAATAAGGTCTATAAGTCAGATCACTATGCAGAATTCTGACTTTACATTTCTTGATTATTTAAAAGAAAATGAGGGAAAATCAATTAGAGAACTGAAATAAAGTATTAACATTAGCAAAGTGAAGATAGCATATTAAAAAACAGGATTATTGCATTTTCAAAATCAAGTTATGAACCATGGTTGTTTTCTGTGGAAGCCCCAATGAATGATTACAATTCATGAGCTATATTTTGAATGTAACAATATAAGAAAATAGAGTTCAGCACAGTGCAACCAAATCATCACAAAGGTGAGTTAGGCCTCTGTGTTTTAGATATCAATTCCACTGGCATTGATATACAGAAGTGTATATACCTCTATAAGGCAGGCATAGTACAAATGCTCCTTCAGGGCAGATTGAGTTAGGACTCCTTACCTGTCTCTTTGAGCTGTTGGGAGTAGCCTTCCACATATCCTTTTGAATAGGAAGATAACTGACTTACCCTTGGAGTCCGTAAGAGAACTTTTCTCTGCAGCTTGAGAAATTCAGCTAAATAGGAAAATAAACTTGGATATAAAGAATGTGTGTATTACTGTTTTGTTTGTCCACTGCTTCCTGACAAGTTGCAATGTTTCTTCTGCTTTTCAGGCAGCAAATGAGTCTACAGTTATGTACAGCTACATCAGGACTTTGCCAATGTTGACCTACAAAAATGAAGATTTAATGTGGTTTCTTTTTACCAAACCCATCTTTTAGCTGAAGAAATGGTGGCACTCTTTTTCTAAGCAACAAGAGTAAGGTCATTAAAATCCATACTTTGAACAAAAAAACCCAGCACGATTTAAGACGTATCATTTACCCAAATGAAATGAGTTCAGTTTCTGAGGAACTGGCTCACACACGAACCAATTATTTTTATTTGGTACTGATTCACTAATTGGTTCCCTGGTGGCAAATTCAGCAGAGGCGTGGATGTTCTAGAAAAATCCTGGACACTAAACTCTGGTCTTCCTTATCGAGAGGAACACACTCCCACTATCATATCCTTGGTAGCTCCCTGTTTAGTTAGGAGTGTCAGTTCATTACATTTCATAAACACTATTTTGAAAGACATTTGAGAATTGAAAAATGATAGTTATGAGCCATTTATTATATCGTAAGTTTCTTTCTCCATGGAATCTTTGTACAACAAGAGCAAGCAATATAGCCATTTTCTTTACAACACCATGGGCTTATATTTTGTGTCACTGGGTATACAGGTGGACCTTATCATTTTCCTCATGAGCTCTTCTGGAACTCAGATTTTATTTTTCTGCTCAGTTATAATCTAATGCTTGTCAACTTCATAATGCTGTGCTAGTACTGAGATGTAAATGATAATAAAAGGATTATTGTATGGAAAACTACAGAGAATATTATGTGCATAAGTAATTATGAGCTGTAACAATCCTTGCTTTCATGGTCACCTCAGAAAGACTAGTTACAAGCATTAAAAGATGTTCTGTCTTCAATTCCTGTGCTTTGTCTAGTTCTTATTATGTCACAAAAACCTGTAAGGTGTTCTGTTACAATCCATTTTTCCTTCTAAAATAGTCTTTCTGAATTCAGTCTTAACTACTTTCTTGAACTAATTTTTCAAATAAGTTGGAGGAAAAGGGAAAAAATAGAGATTTGCTTCATTACATTAAGACCTAAGTACTCGACTATAAAAGATCTTCCCTTTGCATTAGGAGACCCATGTAATCCTGCTTTCTTTAGCAGGATTCATTTGTTTCGGAGAACAGAACTTTTCCTAAACACCTCCTTCTAGAAAGGGAAGATGGTCCACATTCTTGTGATTTAAACACATATTTGTAGGACAAAGTGTTATTAAGAGTAAATAGGGTAAATATTGAAAATCCCAAATGAGACCTTGCCAGTTTGGATTTTTTTGAAGTTTGAAAATTCTCAAAATACACTGATTTAATATCTTTCTAGTCAATTGAGGAGCAAACTATCCCTCTACAATATTGACATGTAAATGAGATTCTAGACATTCTTTCCTGAAAATTAAGAGAACTGTCTACTCTTTGCATTAGGGTATTTTTGACATGTATTCAAGAATTATAATAGAAATTTCTTTAATTTTTTAGCTAATTAGTGCTGAACTCAAAGTTGTTTTGAAGAATTAGATGAGAAAATACATGTTGAACTCCCATAAGATTTATGTATCTAGCTAATGGCTTAGATTTTCAATCTCCGTACAGAAATGCATCTCATAGTATCTAGGTCAGGGAAAAGTTGTCTTTAGTATTGTTTAAATAATGCATGTACATTCTAATCTTCAGCATTTTCTTACTCTAAATTCTATAAAATATGTACAAGATGAAAAAATACTACACAAAGAAGAGTGGATTATAATTTTAAATACCCACTAGGAAAACTATATTCTTTAAAGAACGGTAGATTTTTTAAATATGGAAATTGCATTTGGATAGTGTATGTGCACACACCTTCGTGCACACATAGGATAAGAGTGTGAGAGACATCTCTGGGAATGTATTATATGTGTAACTTGCTACTTAGCCCCAGAAAAATTGTATGGTATTCCTAGAGGGTGAATGTTTAAATATATTTATTGGTACATGGCTGATTTTGTATGCTTTGTTCCATAGAGAAGCTGCAGTCTTTGATGGAAGCACATTTTTCATTCCAAAATGTTTAACCACCAAAAAACTATAGTACTTGTCTCTAACTTCAGGTTGAGAACTATAGCATCTGAAAGAGGTTAATATAAGTTAGAGCATCTACAGAAATTTGAACATGGAGTAATGTTTATTGTTGCTGATAAGTGAATGCAGAAAAAAACAATTTATGTAGTTTCTAGTTTTCAGGAAAAAAAATGGCAAAGGACAATCATTTCAGGAAAATATGCAGCTATGGACAGATTGGTTATCCCTGATAATTTACTCTATCAAAGTGCTGATGATTTGTAAAGTGCTGGATATTTGTATCAATCTTTTAACCCCATTGTATTATAAGCACCTTTTTACTGGAGTTTTAGGAGTGTTTCAAATGACAGTTCTGATTCTCTGAAGTCCAATGTGAAATTGTAGTTGTGCTCTCTTTACCCTTTTCTGGCCTGTCATTCTAAATGGATTTTTAACTTAAATGATCAATATTTTTTTATTTTGCATATGCCTAGAGATTTTCTATGATTGTTTTTTCTGTATTTGCATTGAGCTGACCTAATGAATTGAAAATGAGTGTTTTATAATTCTATCAAATACATGGAGGAACACTGCTTTCCCCTTCCTTTGTGATTCAAAGTTAACTGCATTTTTAAATATTTGTGAAAATAAATGCTTCCATTATTAGACAAATCACTTTGTATTTAATTTTTGAATGCATGTGACTTCGTTGTTGTTTGATGTTGCTACTGAAATTTTACATTAGCTATTATTGTCTATTCGTGGGTTACTTATTCCTATTATTTTCCCAGTTCTCAGATGCTGGTCAACTTTTCTCATATTTCACAAATGTTCCATTCTACACATACATGAAGGAGAACTGACACAGCTAAGACAAACAAGTATCTTAAAATCTTGTTTCTTTAGTTGTTTAAAACCTGAACCAGTAACTTCAGTGTCACCTGGGAACTTACTAAACATGCAGAGTCCAGGTTCCTGTCCCAAAGCTACTGAACCAGAATCTTTAGATTACCAAGATCCCTAAGTACTTCATAAACACAAATTTGAAAAGTCCTGATCAGTCATTCAAATTGGACTGTGTAACTAACTGTTCCATCTGACCTATTGCTGGTTGGTTTGATTTACTAACAGAAGACCTTAAGAAATAAAAGATATTACAAGTATACGAAGATGAGACCCACCAGACTTTAAAATACTACTATAAATAGCCCATGAAGTTTTTTGTATTTGTCCTGTCGAGCTTACAAATTTTTTTTCTGACAGTAATAAAGCTACATCAGCATAAAGAGAGAAGTGGTACTAACTTTATACCCGCTGGATTTTCTAGAGTGTGTGATTTTATCTGCTTGGCAATGTTCATGACAAATATTGATATCTAATGCATGTAAAGTAGCAGATAGGTCAAGGGAAGGGAACATATTTAAAATTGAAGATACTTAAAATTGGAAATATTCCCTAAAATTTACCTGAAATGGAAATAATCCACCAGAAAAAAGAGCTTGCTCAGAATCCAGAATTATATATTACATAAATTATATCACAAGGAATATAATATTAGCTGTAATAGTTACAGACCTTTACTCTGGGAACAATACCAGGTTAGATTGCTTGCTTGCTGGATATCTGAATTTGAATAGGGGGCAGGAACAAGGGAATTGATTATAAACCTGAAATTTTATTTGTAGTGGACAATGAGTGTCTTCATAATTGATGAGTGAGTAAGGTGAGTGTGCAATTGAGAGCTGTGCTGCTTGGAACTGTCTAGGTTCTAAATGCCAATTCGACACCTGTGCCCTGGTCTTACCCTATCTTCCGTCTACAAGATTGAGAACTGTGGACTTTATGAAAATACGGGCCTACAATGACAGAGAAAGATAGGGAATAAATGGTGAGTTTTTTTGATAAACTCCAACTCCTAACTATTAGAGAATTTAGTTATTTGCAGCTTCTGAGGAACCATTTTATAAATAGAAATAAATTATGCAAAAGTCTTAGATATCTTCAGCTTTTGTCAGACCATGTAGCAGGCTTCTGAAAATGTTCTATTTTCTAGAACTTGTTTGAAATATCAATGTATGTTATGGTACATATTTCCCCATAGAAATCTGACCAAACATTTTAAAATAATGGTCCTATATACTCAGACCCCACTCTAGTTTTACTCTGGCTTTAATGCCCTTACCACCTCACCATCAAGAAGGCAGGCCAATGCAACACAGAGAGACAGGACATATGAAAATTATAAACCTCGGGATTCAGGGAGTGTGGGGCTTCCATTTTGCACAAAGTTTGTAAACTGCTCCCATCTATTTCCCCTAACTTCTCGAGTTTTTAGTGATAATTGAAGTATGTTATTTGATCTAAAGTTCTCTGAAATTCTCTGGGATAGCATCTGGTAGTATGCTTGGAAGATACTATTGCATCAAGGCCATTTCCTATATACCAATATAGCCTTATATTGAGATGAAAAACAAATTTCTATTTAAAGTAATTCAAAAAGCAAACCATTGGATAATTTTAATGTTTATTCAATTGCTTTCTTCTTGGAAGGCTTCTCAAGACTTTTATGCGCTATAAATCTCCAAGAGGAAAAATTACTGTTCAGTGTTTTCCCATGTTTTACGACCATGATTCCTTTTCCTTAGGAATAATTACTAATGAATGCAAAGCACACTTTTTTTTTTTTTTTAAGAAACAATGTTGGATGCTGCCATTTTGCTGAGAAACAATCTTATGATTTGGAATACTAATCACTAAGATCACCACCCATTTAATCTATGCATGAATATAGTGTCTAGGACTAAAAGAGGTACACATTAAAGACTCAATATTTGAAATAGTTATCTGTCCTATTCTTTGATTTTCATTGACCTGCTTTCCTTAATCATCTGATCACTATAATGGCCATAATTTTAACTTTCTAGACCATATTGCACATTCCTGAACTATTATCATTTTCAGTGAATACTGAATGTTCCTTTAATTCCCTGCCCTAACTTTTCCTGAAAATCTGTCTTACATGTCAGATATCTTACTAATGATTTAATCTCCATTATATTCGATACTTTATTATTCTCTGGCAAACTATTCACCTTCCCACAGTATTTATACTACTTTATCATGATAATTGAGAGATATCAATCTTAATAGCATGAAATTTTGCTCTTAAAAATACATTATTCGCTGTGGAAAAAGATAGTGGTGGCCCTAAGCATTTTTTCCTCTCCCTGTATCTCAGTCCCTACAATCAGGTGCAGTCATTAATAAAATCTATTAGGTTCTTCAAATAACAACTGATCAAACATAACTGAATTTTGTGAACAATACATTTTGAAAAACTAGTGGCCTCAGCAAAATTTCATCAGCAAATACTTAGTAAGCATCTATTATGTGCCGAACATTCCAAATCATAAGATTGTTTCTCATTAAAATTTTATATTATAGCAAATTATAAGTTTTTCAAGGACCTGTATAAAGAATCAGCATGATAGAATAAAGTAGATGGAGCCTGAGGTTCTGCATTCCTCAAAAGCTCCCAGCTGATCCTAGTGCAGCTTCTCTGTGGAAAGTCACACAGACTTGAATTTTAATTCATTTCCTAATCTGCCTGCCTTTGTGAGATCAGCTATTTCTGTTCCTGCTTAATCATTGGCAAATAGGATCACACCTGTCTAAAGGTCTCACAGTGCTGTCTTGAAGATGAGATTGTCTATAATAACTCAATTTTAAAATACTCTCTCCAAATAAGTAATTATGTAGATGCAATGATTCTCTCAACAGTAAAGCAAGGATCTGAGTAAGAGTAGGGAGAAGTTAGGTATGAGAAAAGTACCATTAATAAGCTAAAGATTTTTACCATTAAGATGTAATAAAGAGGGCCTCCCCGGTGGCGCAGCGGTTGAGCGCTGGGTTGCGAAGCTGCGCGCGGCCTCTGCGGCGCCGGTTCGATCCCCGGCTGCTCCCCGGCCACCAGAGGAGGGTCCCACATGGCGCGCAGACCTCTCCTGCCGCCCGCTGCTCCTCTCAGCAGTGTACCTTGGTCCTTCTGCCTGCTCTGCTCCCCGCTCTGGCTCTGGTGAATTCTCTCGCCCTCCCGCGCTTCTGACTGTACCCAGTGCATGTATAAACAAAACAAACAAACAAACCAGCAAACAAATAAATAAAGCATGCCTCTATAAAAAAAAAAAAAAAAAAAAAAAGATGTAATAAAGAGCCGTGGAAATTTATAGCCAAAAGAATTTTACTTCAGTTAGTGGAGGAATACATGGAGATTCAGAAGAAAAATATAAGATAATTGTTTAGGAAGTCAAATATGGCCGTCCAGAACTAGGTTGTTCAATAATCAAGATGACATAATACTGCTTTTTGAGATAAGAAATAATCTGCACATAAAAAAGCTTTTGAAGTATGAGGTGATAATGAAGACATTGATTAAAATTTCAGAAACAAATGGATTAGATAACCTTACTCCAGGGAAGAATTTGTTTCTGCATGTGGTTTGTCATAATTCCACTAGATGGCAGACAAAACCTTTTAATCCTAAATATAGGCTTAATTATGGAAAATTAAATGGAAAGCAATTACTTCATTACTGAAAGACGGGGCCTAAGTTTTGACATGATTTTCAATTTATTAATACATGCCCTATCACTAATATAACATGCATAGATATATTTCATATGAAATTCTTCCTACAGTTAGTTTAACAGTATACCAATGGTTAAACAAGCAAAGGTATTTACCATGAGAAAGGATAAAAAGATTTGGATCCTAGTTTTAATATAATTCCTCTATGTTCAAAATTAAGTTATCTAACCTCTCTGAATCTCATAATACTTTATTATCATCTATAATTTATGGGTAAGACTATCTAAATTGGAGGTCTGTAAGGTTAAATAGAAAATTGCTTTGTAAACTATAAAACACTACACAAGTGCTTTTTGATTACTGTTATCATTTCAAAGTCTTCCCCCTCCCCATTTGACTGACTGAGGGTGCTGGAGACCTCACATTTCGCAGGCCATCCTTAATTAATCCTTTCTGGTAGTTCCCCTCAGGGCCCTGAAGCTGCAGGAATCTTCACTTCTCACTGATACTTGCTAACATCCATATTTGGCTTCTCTGGGCAAGTGCAGATTTCTCTACTTCAAATAAAACATTTAACTGATTTTATACTGGGTATCACAAAGTCTCTTACTCCCTCTGAATTAAAGCTCACTTGGCTCTCATGAGAGAAAAACAGGAAACGTTGAAGTCACATTTAAAATCCCCGTGACAGAAGGCAGATAGTGTCACATTTGTCCTCTTACACTTCCCTCCACCCTTCTAGGATCCTGTCTGTAGATTTTTTCCTACTTTCTTGGAACTGCCACAGCACCAGTGGTTCAGACTCAGCAACAACCTAATAGACCCTTTATATTCCCAGCAAGGGCATAGATTCATACCTGCAAAGTGTTTCCCAACAATAAAACTTATTTTAAGATGCAAATTAATCACTACAGTTAGAGTTTACATGGAAAAGGATTCAAATCTCCAGTTACAGCAGGCACCACATGAACACATTCATGAAATCCATATGTGAAAAGGAAATACAAGGGGACTGTCAGATTGGTAGCTGGTTGAAACAAAAGTTTGTAGCATATTCCTCAACAAAGGTTGTGACCTA